ATTAATATTCTTAGCGGCAGCACTAATTGTAAAGGGTTGGAGTGTTGAAAAAGAAGAGACACTACCATGGCAAGCCACTCTTTTTTCACATGAGGATGGTCAGTGGAGTTTCTTTTGCGGCGGCACATTGATAGCAGAACGCGTTGTGTTAACTGCAGGTCATTGCGTTTGGAAGACTGCTGCAGATACGATACGTGTTGCTTTCGGGATTCTCTCGAGTGACTTAAATCAAATAGGGGAAAACGCGCAAGTGATCGATGTGGAAAGCATCAAATTGCAGAATGCGTATCAAGATTATGAAAGTAATTATGGTTCGGATATCGCGTTGCTGATTTTGAAAAAAGTTGTGACTATTAATATGGTCGTTGGACCAGTTTGCATTCCTTGGAATTCTGATTCGATATTACTGGAATATCAACGAAACAGTGGTCTTGGACTAGTTGCCGGTAAATTTTAAAAATTTGATAAAATTAGAGAATAAAGATATTGAGAAAATTAAATATTTTTGATCAAAAATATCACATATAATTTTTTTTTATTTAATATGTTCAATAAATTCTTTAGAAATTCTTTACAAATTATTCACGTAACGCATTTCTTTTAAAAGAAACGTAATTAATTCTACAAGTTTAAAGTTCACTAATTAAAGATAAAAAGATCTATGTTGCTAACTATGATTGGCAACAATCATAGTTAATAAATGGATCTTTTTAACAGTTCCTGGAACGTGAGATATTTTTCAGGCATGGGGTTAACGGAGAACAACACATTTAGTTCAGTCTTGAGGGTAACTACAGTAAAAATCATTTCCGACGATGAGTGTCGTAAAAACCAAAATAGAGATTTCCGAAAATATTTGACTTACACTTCCTTTTGCGCCGGATGGGCGAATGGTACTGGAGTATGCAATGGAGATAGCGGTGGAGGTTTGGTGCTTCAGCGACCGAATTCCAGTGTCTGGGAAATTCACGGAGTTGTTTCTGTGAGCCCACGAAAACTGGGTACCAACGTATGTGATCCGAATTTCTATGCTGTTTTCACAAAGGTATAATAATATAAATATTCTTATAAATGTTGAATATGTTAAGTTCCAGCTACAATATATAATTTTGTCATCCGTAAGTTACCCTTACATAAAATCTGTAATGCATTTTATTATATTTTTTTATTATATTTTTTCACGTACAATAATTACATTAATTTATCATTTATTATATTAATAAATTATGTTATTTATAATATTAATAATTTACATAATTTATAATATTATTAGATTATATATTATTTTGTTTAATATTTATTATGATTGTATAGGTTTCTATGTACGTCAATTGGATTCATAAAATTATTGAGAGCTTGCCTACAATCGGCTTACCTGATTTTGATCAACATCCAAATAGAGATAACATCGTTGTTTAAGCGATAATAAATTAAATTGATTCCAATTATAATATATAGTTAAATAAAATTAAACTATAAATATTTGTTATACATAATATATAACATATTTTAAAGTATACATACTGCAAGTATGTATATGTATTAATTTAAAAAATTAGATTACTTATATACCTAAATCATTGATACCAGTCATTGATTATTCATTAAATTATTACATCGAAAAATTAAATATCGTTTTTATTAATATTATTCATGGTAAAGAACTCAGGTATGCTAATGTTTAAATGGTTAATATTCAAAGTTAAATTTTCTCGATTTATTTATTTAAAATAACGTAATGTTATTTCTCTGAAAATGCTAAAGTTTGGTACAAAATAATGATAAAATAATTTAGATTAATATTTTTGATTAAATAAAACTATAATCTTTATGTTAGATTTAATAAATTGTTTATCATAGGATATTAAACGATAAACAAAATTATTTATCAAATGTAAAAAGTAAAATGTTTAGGTAAATTTATATTATAAAGAATTAAATAATTTCATTTAGAATATAATCTTGTTGCGTATTTGTGGCTGTGTACAACGCATTTTTGTTTACGTAAGATCGCTGACTTGTGCCGCGACGATGAGATTACGTGCTATCATTCACACTATGCTCGAGCAAGAAGATAGTATGTATGTCGCTCCGGATTTTTATCTCTCGAAATTGCTAATAATTCAGCAGTTCGCATGTGTAATTAACTTTTGAGATTAATGATATGTAAACGTATTGCGGCGATGACATATTAAAGCAAACATCCGCATTACTTATTTATTTGAAATAGAATGCGTACGCAATAGAATATAAAAATTATGAATCACTGTTTTATTATTATCATCTTTTTAATGCTCTTTAATCTTTTTGATGCTTAGAATTTGATAAATCTTGCATTACATTGTGAATTTGAATATAATTTATCTATTACTTTTTCCGGATTAAAAATGCACAGAACATACAAAATTCATTTTGAGAACGAGTACACTTACTTCCTTCTACCATATATATCCCTTTTTATTTCCTTTTCTCGGAAACAAAAGAATATTTTCTCTTGAACAGCAGAAATGAATAGCCTATTGACAACATGTCAAATATAAAATAATATAAGATTTATAATTTTGCAAATATTAATTAAAGACGTGCATGTTTAAATAATTGATTCATCTAATCGATCAATCTTTTTAGTATAAGTATTACAATTCCGTGTTTTAGTATGACGAATCTTTCAACAACGACTGTAAGTATAATAAAATTAAAACGAACAACATGTTTTATATAAGCTAGATACACTAAACATACAAAATAGAAAAATGCGGATTTATAAACAAGATCAACTTTAATAAATCAGTTTTTTTAAGAAAAAATAAAATACTTTTTAAAAATTGATAAATCGATAATCGTACAATATTTCTATCTAATGCCATTTTCTGAAGATATCATGTTTTAATTTGTATATTAATATTACATCACAAAGTTGACCATTTCGATGCAAAAGGGAAAGAAAATGCAGATAGCACCCACTATACATGAGTCAGGTATAAGATATGATGATGTATACATCTCACCGAGTCATATAAAATTCAACGAAACCTTCGAAGGAATTACTCATCGAGAGCGTATTATTATCAAAAATGTCGGATGTAAACCAGCGTTTATCAGAATCTACCCGCTAAATTCTATAGTAAATATGTCTAATCTGCGTAAGTCATAATTAAACATTTTAAGAAATAAGAGAAATTCTCAATGATTATCATTTCTCGAAAGAATTTTCAAATAAAAACTCAGAAAAGTGGAATACGAGTGAATCCTGGATTAAGTATAATAACATATGTGACTTACACGTTTAAAAGAATGACTAAACGCATAATTCCGAATGTAATAATTCCGATTGAAATCAATGGAAAGATTTTCGATTATCAAGTAATATCTAACTTTGCCACCGAACATATCAACATCGAACCGAAGTCAGTTGACTTTGGTATTATCGATATTGGCTATATCGGTTTAAAAATATTAACAATCCATAACGAAGGAAACAAAAGTACCAGGTATTTATGGTATTTATAGAAATTTTTTGGACATTAGAAATACAATTGCATTAAAAAAGATAATACGTTTTAAAAATTTTTATTAGAAAAATGTTTTCATGTTTTTTTCGATTTTTAATTAATTCTTCATCATATAAAAGACAATAATTTTAGATTATGAAGATAATTTTTATATTGTTTACATAAAATATGAATTAACTTTAATCAGATTTTTTGTATAATTTATATTTTCAAATGAGAAAGTTTAAATATAAAATAAAGTTTGAGATAAATTGGTAAAAATTTAAAATTTTCCAGATTTTCAATCGATCTCGGGCAAAATGATCTAGACTTAATAATAAAACCTCTTCGTGGAAGAATCAAACTACAAAAAAAAATAATACTTCAAATTAAATTAATGGGCATAAACGAAGGCATCTTTTATAGCGAATTTTGGTAAAATATCTTTGCTGTTCGTCATCGTAATTTTTGTCATTGTAAGAAAGATTCGTATAAACTTTTTCAGGATTAAGTCTACTCCAAATATACGCGTTCCCATCAAAGTGCGTGTAATCGAGCCGAAATTAGTAGTTTATCATCCGAATACGACTGGAGATTTTACCCTCATAGATTTTCCACCTACGATAGAAAATACCTGTAGGCACGATACTTTTGTCCTGCGTAATCTTTCGTCTCGAGCATCCAGTTATGTTGTTCTTGGTGAAATTGATAACGAAGTAAAATGCATTCCGGTACGAAATACGATCGTTACAAAAAAAAAAGAAATTTTAGCCAGTAGCGGATTATCAAAAGCAATGCTTAGAAGCTTAAAGTGAAAGTAAAATAATATTGGCACTCTACTTAAAGTATTTATGTCTAAAATTTATAGAAGATTAAAGATTTAAGTAGAAATGATAATAAATTTAATAAATTAGAATTATTTATTTAAATGTCATAAAAGTTCCTATCTAGAATTATTAAATATTTTGTTACAATATTAACAAATAAAAGAAAAATTGAACGCAGATAACTAAAATTAATGTAATTAAATTGGAATCTTTGAAATATATGTAAATCTTACGTGAATTTATATTTATTTATTCCGCCACTGACTTATGCTCTTAATCAATCTGACTCAGAAATAAGGAGTAAGTTTTATTAAATTAAAACTATTTTTATAGGATATCGATCGCAAGCAACATCCGATTTATAATATCTTTGAAATTCATCCGTTTGAAGGGCGATTAGATCCATTTCAAGGTATCATTTTTGAAGTAAAGTAAGTATAATTATTTTATTGTTGTATATTATATAAAACTATAAAAGAAATAAATATTTTACATACACGTACATTAAAAACAATATCTATTAATATATAATTCTAGATTTTCACCAATAAATATATTATCGCAACGAAGAAAAGAGCAGGAGCAAAAGCAATGGAGAAAGTGTGAAACTAAATATCCAAATCAGAAGAATAGAGATTTCATGCAATTTATTAGAATAGTCAGGGTACATTATATCGAATCGGAAAATATCATCAGTGTGTCTCTTTTAGTTTATTTTGCATCGAAGTCAACTGAACAAATCTTTATTTAAATAATGTTTCTACAGGGATTGATCCTATAAAAGATATTTCAATGGATAAGTTATCATCACAAAAAATTTACATAGGTGAGTAATACTTTTAAACAATTTAATATCTTATAAAGTTTATTAACATAACTTCATGCTTATTTTATACATATAAATAACATCTTTAGATCATTTTTCTTGGACTTTTTGGATAACTTCTTGAATAATTATGTAATAAAAATAATAATTAATTATTTTGTTACACATTTTAACAGAAGACTCAATGGAAACTTCATCCATGTTAATGCCTTACATATCAAGTATTGATTCAAAAATCTATGACATAAAGCTTTATCTTTACGGTGAAGTGGAACCGATACAAGTACATTTTGAACCTGATACTCTTTATTTTGGAGACCTAATTGTCGGCCAGATAGCGCAGCGCGTGCTTCGTCTGACAAATCCTTCTGCTGTTGTACCGATATATTTAGAATGTGCGCCAAATGCAGCTGTACGCTGCTATCCGAAGTGGGTGAAACTTATGCCTAAAACGTCGATCGAAGTTCTTGTTAAAATTTGCGGCAAAGAAAGCAGTAATTATTGCTCTTTTATTTTGTTAACATGTTGACTTATTTGTGTCCTCGAATCTCGATAAATTGTTCGAGCAAGGCTCTATCTTGTGAATTTATTTTTACAGTTGAATCTTCCTTCAAATTGCTCTTTAATGTCGCAGCAGATTCTTATGATTCGACTGTATCAAGACGATGTTTCAGTAGAATAAAAGTTGGAAGTTACTTTATTGTATGTACGGTGAATATTATTTTCAAGTCCAAAAAGGGACTTTTAAGTAAGTCTATGTTAAGTTAGTTCCATAAATTAAAATTTAAATTCTTCAATATTTTAAAAATTAAATCACTTTTTTAATAAAGGTAAAAGAAGTTTGCCAATAAAAAAAATTGACGACGAGGAAGAAATTATGAAACGCCTTCTAAGTTTACCCAAATGGAAGCTGTTATATAAAGATTATTCGCAAATGTGTAAATTTACAGGAAACGATTTAAAATCTTCGCTCAAGAAATCGATTTTCGCAACCAAGGCAGCTGTACTGATACCTTTATCGCCTTTACAAATATATAAAGTCCACATTCATCCAACCACTTTCGTCTTTGGAATAGTAAGTAATCCAAAATATGATACAGATGACTCATAAAATTGATCAGATGTTTTAAAAATCATTAAAAAATTGCTTGTAAACTTATTATTTTAGAAAGAGGTTTTATTTTTTATTGTTAGAAATAATATATAAGTTATAAACACTTATTTTTAATGTCTGCTTTTTTTTCATTTCTCTCTTTTTTTCTTTTTTATTTGTTCCTTCTTATTATATAAAAAATTTTTCATAGACTTGCATATACAATTTTAAAAAATGTAATCGATTTCGTGAACGAATAAGAGCAATGATTCTGATAGAAGCTCGTTAAATTATTTTAATCATGGACATTGAGTGATTGGGGTAGGTAGCATCGAATAGTTTCAACTATCGTCGTTTGGTTGTAAAGAATACGAACGACATTCCAGTGATGATACAATTAGTAACTACACTCAAGTGCATCCACTTTCCGGAAGGTGATTCAATGATCTTACAACCAGGCTCGACGATGACCAAATTAATCGAGTATTTTGCGGACAAAGTTTGCGGCAAGTTTACTGGATCTATCAATTATGTGATTAATCATAATCACTCTTTCGAGTTTAATATTACTGCTTGCATTATTCGCAAACAATTGTGTATCGATAAAAGAGAGATCGAACTTGTGAAAGAACAGTCGAGAGAAATTTATCAACCAATAGCTTCTATTGTTCGAATTATAAATAAATTGAACGCGAAAATATACTTCAGGTAAAATGTATTTCTTTCCGCGTGTAAATAACAATAATTTAAACAATGTTTAACAAAAAGATTGTTTCAAAATGAGTGAAAGAATTATTATAAAAAGTTATTAACAAGAGTATATATCTGAAAAAATAAAATAGCAGTTTATTAAAATGTAGAGTAATTGTAGCGTATAAATGGCTGCAGATTCTCTTTCTTAGATAGATTGTTGATTTAATATTAATGTAATGAGTTCATACATATGATATTTCCCTGAATCAATGTCTCAATAATAATGGGAGATTTTTAAAGTGTTTAACTCTAAAGAATAATTGAATCGTTTTCAAGCGCTTGTAATCTTGATAATAAATCTTATCGAATATTTCAAATAGTTTAAATGCAGTGCAAAATGATAAATTGTCACAGGTGGGAAATACCAGCGACGTCTAGATTCTATATAGAACCGGAATTCGGTTCCGTGCGGGGTAATGCTACTTTACACGCTTACGTGCACTACGAATACAATAACATGAAGGATAATTCGAACATTCAAGCGATGATGATATGCGAGAGCGGAAGTCGCGTGTCTCTGCGACTTAGCGCATCGCAATTTGTGCCGAAGGTTGAATTCGTAAATGATAACGCGAATCTCGGGGAAATACCTCTCAATTTGCCAACGAAGGTGATTGCCGTTCTTCAAAACTTTGAATTTAATGAGGTGACGTATGAGGTGGATAGCGCTTCATTGATACGCGGTTGCAATGTTAAACCACTGCGAGGGAAAATATCTCCGCGCGGTATTGCAATTCTTGAGGTAAGTTCTCCATCAATCGTAATAATATTTCGTAATAAGCAAACAATATTCATTACCGCTTGTTAGATATACCTTACATTCGACGTTTGCTGTCGCTTTACTATCGTAATTGCCGTTACGATTGAAGGACGCCTACAGTTACTGTATAAAATAAATGGCAATGTGTCATTTCCGCGATTGAGACTCGTGCCGCAACGAATAGACATAAAACGCCTCAGAATCGGTGCTCTTCAAACTCATCAGATAACAGCCACGAACATTGGGACAACGTTGTTGAAACTCCAGGTTTTGTTGGAAGAGTATCCCGAGTTTCGCATTTCTCTGTCGGCAAATGACAAGAGTTCGGAAATAGGTAATGGCAATATAAAAATAATGAAATAAAGGTATCTCCTGTAAACGATTAGAAAGAATGAGAGATGATAAAAAAATAGGAAAATAGTTAAGCGGATTCGAAGTATCCTAAAATGAAGCAAAAAATATCTACAATGAAGAAATAGCAATTACATCCAATTAGAATTTTTTTACAATTAGTCCCAATTTATTACACAATAGGTATAATAAGATTTTAAGCTTTTTGCTCAAAGCTCTGAGCTGTGACGTTAATTGGCTTTATCTTTTAAATTTTACAATTAAAATCTGGTCAGCCTGTTTAAGGCTTAAGGATTACGGCAACATCAGAAACTTTTTACTGAAAACGTCACAATTTAAAAGTTTAAAGCAAAAAGCTGAAGAATTCCTTAGATTATAATTATCGATCGCAGCTTAAGAAAGATAGATTTATAACTTTAATAACTTCAATAACTCGAAAAATTATGAATTTTATTTAATAAATCTGGTAATTTAATTGCGATTTATATATTCAATAAACAAAAAGGTACGGAAGGGATAACCATCGCCCCAGATACAAGTCAAAACCTCTATTTGCACTTTCAACCAGTCGATTTAGCCAGTTGTTCTTTCTATCTGCCGATTGTGATAAATGAGCTGCTTGGTCCAGTATCGATGTTGAATTCCAAGAGCACTCGACCAGCAGAAATTTTGAAATTGCATGAAGCTCATTACATGCATTTATCAGGTTTTTCCATGACGACGTTACCTGATAAACTACCGACTGTATCTATCGATTATACCGTGGCTGACCGCATTATTTTCTTCAGCAAACTTTTGTTTCGATTCAACACTTTGACTAACGAAGTAAGATTTTACATCGATGAAATAAAAAAAATACAAAAAATAGAAACACAAATAGTTGTATATAAAAAGATTCATAAAGAAATGTATTAAAAAAAAGTGTAGAAAAAATTTCTATACGAGATAAAATATTTTTATCTTTGTACGTAGATAGTAAAAATTTTATATTAAGCTATTTTATTGTACAATTAAAAATTTTTACATCTAATTAAGGCATTTCAAATTCATGTTTTTACTCTTTAGCTATCTGAAGAATTGTTTGTAGAGAATCGAGTAATGGTAAGGGAAATATTAATATCAATAAATATCGAGGAATTTAACAAAGTTGATTGCCCGTTCACCATAAAATGGTCTCACGGTACGGAGATCGGAAGAACAACAGATGCGATCGAGTGCACCTTACATCCTGGCGATAACGTCTCTTTCATTCTCGAATTCAAGCCGAGAAAACGCGGCAGTTTTAGTGCAGAAGCACCGATATACATTCGTGGTGAGCTCGACGACGGCGTCTTCAATAAATTACGTCTCAACGGCGAGTTTCCCGCCAGTTCGATCGACGTTGAGCCAACGGAGATATATTTTATGCCTGTTCCTCTCGGCACGGAAGTAGAGGAAAAGTTTAGAATCCGAGCAAAGCACTTTGATAATACGGCGTTTATACGGCCGAACTTTTTAACGACGCCGCGATGCAGCGGCGATTACAAAAATGAGTTGTTGCGCGTTGACTTTCCAAACGGTAATGTCGTCCCTCCTCAATCGTAAGTTGAAATATTTTCTCTTGTTATTTATATTATTAAAAATATTAATAAATAATTATAATTTAATAATATTTAGAAAATATTAGCATAGAATTACTTTTTTCACAAAAAGCAATTCTATATGTAAGAATTTTAAAATTATTTAAAATTGTTTTGTTTTTTGTTGCAAGGTATGTAGAACTGGAAGCAAAAGTAACGTTTAAGAGTAATCAACCAGTATCGTTTTGCTCAATAATTGAATTTTCGGATGATAATCAACTTGCTGTGTGTTTTTTAACGATATATGCAACAGCGGATAATAATTTGTTAACAACGTACATACATTCTATAAAGTCCAGCTTTGATGAGACATATTCAAAAAAACATATATCCATCTCATGTCCATCAATATTATTAGAAAGCTTAAAAGATGATGACATTGAAGAAATTCCTGATAACCACAGAGTAGTATGTTTTTATTTTTTCACTTTTTAATTTGCCAAAATACTTCAGAAGGAAATGATTATCAATATAATTTCATTAAATTCAAATTTTAATATGAATGAATAAAATTTAATCATGAATTCTGACATAAACTAATAAAAATAAGTAAAACCTATTTTGTGTGGTATTGGAAATTTAATTTATTAGAATGATATATCAGTCTTATTTTAATTTTTATTCTTTAGAATTGAGAAATATTATAATTTTATAATTTATATTTTTTAGCCTTTTTTATAATACTTATTTAGAAAAAAACTTAAATATATACTGACATATATATTTAGATATATTACTGTACCTGCCACAAGTTTTGACATTTTAATGTAAATCAAAACTGTTTAACGATTAATAATAATGCAATTTCTATTATGGATTTATTCATTCTTGTTTATGTGTACTAAAGATTATCTGATAGAGGTCAAAATGCATTTCGTTTGCGTGCATTATGTTTGTTTTTTATTTTATAATGATCATGTATTCTATTTTATAATGATTAGTGTATAATTACAAAGCACCAGCTTGATTGTTTATAGTTATTATTTTGTTTTAATTATTTGAGCTCTCTGTCTCTCTGTCTCTCTGTCTCTCTCTCTCTCTCTCTCTCTCTCTCTCTCTCTCTCTCTCTCTCTCTCTCTCTCTCTTTCTCTTTCTGCTGTACTCTTGTTTAAAATCAATTACTATATATTTCATTTATATGTATATTTAATATATAGTTTAAATTTATTTAAATCTAGAACGAAATATTTGAATCGAAATTCAATACGAATATTATATCGCATTTTGATAATCAAAAGAGAAGTATTGTTAAAAGAACAAAATCGAATTTACATTACAAACAAATGACTGATATTGAAATAGGTATATACAAGAATATGCAAGTATATGAAAAACAAACGCTAGATGATAAACGAATATCGATTGACAAAAAATCTTCTGTGTTTTCTGCTTTTGGAACAAGGAATTACAGATATTTCGAAAGGTTATTGTTTTCTAGCTATTCCGTCAACGATCAAAATGAGTAAATTTGAAAAAATAAGAAATCACTGTAATTAAAGAACTTAAAATAAATTGAATTAAAGCCAGAATTGAAGATAAATTTATATATAAGAATAAAAGAGTTTAAAATAATTTTGAATTGTTTTTCCTTAAATTTAAATATAAAGCAGATCTTTTTACTTTAATGAAAATTAATTAATTGAATTAGTTAATTTTAATACAAACAATTATTATGAAAAAATGTAAGTTTATAAGATAAAATATAATAATTTTACTGTTTAACTAAAATGAGAGAATTTTTTGTATCCTTCCTGATTTTAAATATTTTTTGAAAATTTAAAAACCAATATAAATTTGAATATTAAAAAAATCAATTTAATAGTTCATTAAAATTATGCAGAAGTGAATAATTTATTGTACAAATATTATAACATGTAACGTATATCTGTTTTACAAACATTTTGCATGTGTTTATTTTTATTAGTGACTGCGAGAAACATGTGGAGAGAATAATAACAATTATGGAAGAATGGATGTATTCGGGTCCATTGAAATTTCGCTTTTATCCAAACATTTCTTATGGCATTATGGCAGCTTTTTCGTATTTCTGTATAAAAAAACGATCTTACGCGGGACATTCTAAACAGGAAAAAGATGCAATTATATTGTCGTTCATCAATGTCCTCGAATCAATCGTAGGACCAAACATTCATACTTACTTGGGAAAATTGTAATATTGTAATATTCATGCATTTATACATATGTCCTTCCTTTCAAGTACATTGCTATTTTTTTATTCAAGATCAAAGAAAAAACTGTTACCTGAAAATGACATCGAAAGAATAAATTATATTCTCCAGTTGTATAACAAAATACTGGACTTTCTTCTGTCTCAAGGAGCATATTTAGTTCACATTTTGCCACAATTTCTCCTAAATTATGATGATTATCTAATTAGCATTGACATTGTACAGAGCAATGTTAGTTACTTATAAAGTTAGTTAGTTAGTTATAAAGTTGTAAATTATGATAATTTCTTTCTTTTTTAGAATAATAAGAATTAAAGAATATAAGAAAAAAGCTTTTAGCTAAACTATACAACTCCATCAAATCAGATCTCAAAGATCCATATGTTGATTAATTTTTTTTATATTACAGGCACAAAGAAAAAATTTAAATACAAGTTGTGCATCACATAAACGATTGTCGCGACAATTATTCGAATTGCGAAATAAACAATGCTGGTTGGATGTAACTTTGCAAACATACAAGTGTCTCGTGCTCCGTGGAATACACGAGTATAAATTCTGGATATCGCCGAGATCCACAGGGTATCGGGAATCAATAGTATTGTTTACATCGAGATTCGTTATTGCGTAATTTTACAATTGCATCTCTAATTGGATATACCTTTCTCAGTTTGCCGAGGCAATATGAACTTCATGAGAGAGCCATTGAGAGTATTGCAAATTCGCCAAGCTGTGAACTCGCTTCCGACCGTTGTTCAGAAGAAAAGTTTTTGTTAGCTTGGCTACGATATCATTACGAACAACAACGCGAACGAGATTGGATGACTGATCGTCATATAAACATGAATCCGCAAGAAAAGCAGGATGTGGCCAAATATCGAGTGATTCAAAATTTTCATTATGATTTATCTGATAGCCTTGTACTAATTGCGGTTACCGCAGCCTATTGTCCCTTTCTCATCGACAAATATTTTAACAATTTATACATTTGCTCGAGAAGCCAACAAGAGGTAATCATTAAGCGTTGGACTTTAAATTAAGCTTAAGCTAAAAAGAAATCGTACATTAGATTATACATTGAAAACTGAAACGATCAAAATTATGTGCATTAAAATTCGAGTTTTAATTAGGATAATGTAAATTAATAAGATTACAAGCATAAACTTTTTATTAATACTTTATGAGTCAGGACGAGATCTTTTATCTAACAGTATAATGTTCGTGAATTTTATTATTCGGCATTAAAATGTAGTCTTAAGCCAAATCCATATATCGAGGCAACTTTGTATTTCTTGTTAGTATAAGATAATACCGTTAATAAATACAAAATAATTTTGAATTAAATACACTAAATAGTTATTATTGGAAGATAGATTTAACAGATGTTAGTTTTTATAAACAGCGTTATTTTTTTCTATAAATTTATGCAAATTATTATAATTGTAAAAAAAATTGGAGAAAAAATTAATTGACATTCTGAATGATTTAACAGTTTTTGAGCCTTTAATGTTATCTTCAATTTTTTATCGTATAGTCCTATTGCAAACAATGCAAACTACATAATTTTCGCAATTTACTGTATCTAGATGCTGCATAACGCTATTTGCCTAATTACTGCTTGGAGGAAAATACGACTAGGCTTCATTATTACGCCGATGCAACTGGTTAATCCGAATCAAGTTCAAATATTAATGCTGGTCGTCCATCTTTTCCAAGTTTTACCGACATATGTACCTTGCGCCAAGGTTTGTATAAAAAAAAATCATGATATCACGCTTTATAATGCTTATTTTCTCTCTCATTACATTATGATATTTCATGTTTTTACTTTTTAAATAATTTTACTTTTTAAAGTAACTTTAATCTAAAAACATATATAGTTTTATATATTACGTGTATAACATATTACTTCACCTTTACAGATCAAATTTAATTGTTCACTATCCCAAATCATCACGAAGCAAATAAACATTTCAAATCCGACAGATAACATTGTAAATTACTTATTATTGCTCATAAACAATGACAATAATTTTTTTACTATCCTGAGGCCCGTGTCGATCTTACATTTAAATGCGCACGATTGCGGCCAAATACAAATACAATTTCATGCTAAGAAAATACAGAAAAACAGAGGTAAATTTTATTTAAATTATCTTTGCTTATCCAGATTATGTAGGTTATTTTATTTAACTTGACAAAATAATTTAAAGCATCTCTATTACTTTTGATATTTAAATCAAATAAAATTTATGCAAATTGTTTAAAATGGGATCTTTCTCATGTGTCGTATCGGATTTTTTAATTCAATAGCATATTTGATGCTTTGCGGACGAGCTATTGGACCATATTTTGGAAGAAATCAGACTATCATTTTGGAGGGTTGTATCGATAATCTTGGAATTGCGAGCAAATATACTATACGCAGCAAATTATACCAGATTGTCGAGATAAATCTGAAAATCAGTGTACCCTATCAAAATGCAGCAAAATATGATATATGGATGACAGACGAACGGCCGAGCAACCCTTGTAAGAAGAAATAATCTTCTTTGTCACTAAAGATTTTTATGACTGATTATCGTAAAAAAAAAACGTGGAGAATTTATCAAAGGTTTTCTAGTATAAATATCTGTCAAAAGCTACTTTTTAAAATCTAAACTCGTGAAACATTTAATGTGTTAAATTATTTGTTAGCTTTATTCTAAAAACGCTATATTTATATATTAGTAATAATATTCGGATTGTTCCTAAAAAAAATTCATTATTTTTAATTTTATAGTAATTATATATATGATATATAATTTACGATTATATGACATAATCGTAACTCGAATCGTTTTAGTGACTCTAAAAATGACGCGATGGCAAGAATTGCGAGCCAGGAAAATACCAAGAAGACTTTTCTTAAATCAAGAATCAATAATCGTCGCCGAGGGTGCATCAGAAACACATTTATCAATCAGTGTGGCATGTATTATACCTAAGCAACGAACATTTTGGTTGATTTTTCAAGCGAAAACGGGTGATTTTATTATTCAAGTAAGCACTTGACAAGTACGAGGAATTCTTTTACGACACACTAAAGTACGAGGTCGTCTATAAATGTGGTCGACGCAAAATGTGGAGAAAATGTATTTAGATTCTGAGAAAATGGCATTGATATCTTGTAAAATTAGATATTTTTTGTTGATCGCAACAGATAAATTCGATTTGGCAAAAGTCAGTCAACGATCGCATCGTTGTCCAATGGGCAGCTCAAGGAGAATGCGTTTGCTCAAATCAGCGAAGTGACGTAAGAGCTTGTCCGTTTAATATCAGCATACCTATACCATCCTGTAACGTTCAATTTCGGAGATGTGTAATTGAAATGTTTAAAAAAACTCTCGAACCGCGAGAACATCTATTCTGGTCCAAATACTCGAGTATGTCAGATAACATCTAAAAATACTTGTTTATCTTATTAATCTATTTATAACTCTAATATATTTATTCTGACAAATTGTCATTTATGTTCTTGCTTTTTTTCTTAGTTTTTATTTGTTGCTTTCAGATACCTATATCGAGCTACAATTAATAAAGTGGTTGATGAGAAGTGATTTTGCAGCTCTCGAATTTATGCATGTTTTTAACACCACAGTGACATATAAAGTTACAATTTCGGATAAATCAAGTCCTCTTATTTTACCAGAATGTTTTACTATACAAGGTAAATAAGATTCAGGACATAAATTTTTTTACTATTTACATAGAATAATTCATTTGAAAGAGCTTTGTAAAAGAATTTATTTTTACTATTTCATTCGAAAATACAGAAATATTATGTTATTATTTAGCTATAAACTCTTTAGATAATTTAGAATTAATATTTATATAACTAAAATTTTCTCCAAGAATTTTTAAATCATAAACGATTAAAAGAGAGAATTCAAGAATTAAATTTTAGAAATGCAAGAATAGAATGTAATTTTATTTTTCATTTAATTAAGAAGCATTTTTCTCATATTACATAAAATAAATTAATTCTTTTCTTTTACCATTTCTTCAGCTTTTTCCTACATCCGGTAGTATAATTTTAAGATACATCTTTTTTTCATTCTCTATATACATTTAATATGTAGGTATATATTTCAATTTACACATATCTTATCTAATGTATAAATTGTATTTTATATATTTTCAATTGAAAGTTTTTTTTTTTTATAATGTATGTCTAGATGTGAGCCTAACTAATCAGCAAGTTCCAATGATCGTACATATTTTACCAACAACTCCTCCATTGTATGAAGCGACGCTCACTCTTACGTCTTTAGATGATAAAGAATTTCGAGTATATATTATCGACTGCTTACGATCCTAAAGTTATCATTACTACGTAATTATACATTAAGTAAGTGTAAAGATAAATAATTCGATTATAAATTTTTTTACTTTCTATTTCGGTGTTAAGAATATAGAAATGCTTTGGTGAGAAACGAATAAAAAAATGTGGAAAAGTAATCATAACGTATGATTTTTAATATGCATTTATTAACAATATGTTCGGTCGTATATCTGCACAAATTTAATTAAGAAATTACAATAAGTTTCTTCATTCGATAAAATTTCTTCACATTTTTTCAAGATTATTTCATTTTATTTTTGCTGGATTGCTTTTAATTAATCATGGCAGTAAATGATTAATCATATAATAGAGACATTATATATATAATACAATAATGAACTAATGAAGATGTAACGTTTACATTTCATTAAAAAATTCAGTTTACAGTAGACAGTAGTAGTAGACTTTTATGTCAAGACAAATATATAATATTTGATATATGTAATTTAATTAACTTATCAGAGTTGTTTTTTTGTCATCATTCGAATTATAATTAAATAAAATCAGGTAAACATACATCAAATAGTCAAATTTCATATTTGATAAAATAATGACAATAATTCTTGACTAATTTTTTTAATTGCGAAAAAGATATATAAAGAGATGAATAATATGTGAAAAATATCTGATATCATGATTTAAAATAAATATATAAGAAATCATGAAGGAAGCAATAAATAACATTTGAATTAATGTCAAAGAATTTGTAAAAAAATTGAATTTATATATTTAAAAATGTTCTAGCTAAAATTCTAATTTTCATGTATACAGGATGTCCAGAAATCAAAATATTAGAAAGTTTTCGAAAAATTAAGTAAAAAAGTTATTTGCAAATTTATATTATAAACAATATACAATTTAATACAAAAAAAGAGTTTAAATACAATGATTTAATTACAGACTACATTTTAGAATCGGCGACAAGAAAATTCATTTACATTTCAATTGGGAGTAAATATATATCTACATTTTATCATGTTTGTATTCTTATTATTATCTTTTGTCAAACAAATATTTGGCCACAAAACTTGTATTGAATGTTTTATGAAGCTGTGAAGCCTACTAAAGAGTCGGATTTTGTAATTTGAACCTTGAAACATTATAATAAATAAGATTATCTGTATTTCAGCAATACACATTGAATGAAATATTAAAAACACCTATTTTGCGTTTTTGTTTAAAATGTCACTCTTTAGCAAAATGTAGGCAATTCTCTTAATTATGAATATTATAATTATATTGTAATTTTCTCAGTAGTTTAGCTATAAAGACAAGAGAAACTTGTCTTCGACACGTAATCTGTAATTAGTCACATTTTATACTTTTATTATCTCAAAAACTATTGCTTAAAACTTTACGAATAACTTTTTGACTTAATTTTTCGAGAGCCTTTTTGCTATAGAAGTTTTAGTTGCAAATTTCATATTTGCAAATTGCATATCCGCATTTGTTATAGATGGAGTCTGTAGACAAAACGTTTAAAACAAATCTATAAATCAGTTCTTCAACTACTACTATTAACGTTTCCGAAAATTTTGA